TGAACTGATGTTTAATTTTCTTTCTCCTTCCACCGGACACTGCTCTTCCTCTGGACAAAGTTGAGAGAGCTTGTGCTGAGAGAGAGAGGTAGATATTTCGTGTGAGAAGGTGCAAGTGGTGTGTGTGTGTTTGTGTGTGTGAGCGTGGGGGCAGGGATTGCGGTCTGGAGAGCTTTGTGCCGGGAATGGACGGGGGAAGGCAGGGAACAGAAAGAACTAGACTTCGCTTCTATTCCTCCCTTGGAGACTCCCTGTTTCTGGACCTGTTGTTGGTTCTCGGTCGGGGCCATCTGAGGCTGCTCACGTTCCTTGCACTGATTTGGGCTCTGGGAGCTCCCTCCACCTTCTCTACCCCCACCCTACCCCACCACAGCGCTGTGGCTACATCCCGGCGGCGTGGGGCGGCCGCGGCCCCCCTGCACCCAGGCTGAAGGCGTGGGGGAGCGCTGGCTCCTTGTCTGCGCCCCTAAAGCGGACCTCCTATCAGCCTTGGCCAGCTCATCCTCTGCATCCCCTCCCACTTGTCTTGGCGTTCCCGAGGCAGGACGGCCCAACCTTGTGGCTGCAACCAAGTTTTCCTCCCGCAGTTTTCTCCATCTTTCCTAGCTTTGGGGAGAGATCACAGTGGGAAAAACAAAAGTTTATTTCCTACCACGAGCTGCAATGCTCTGAGTTTCCTACCCTTTTCGACACCGACAGTCCGGGTTAAATTCACTTCCTCCAAGGTCTCCCTCCTCATTTCCACACCCAGAAGCTTGCGGGGTGGGGGGTGGGGGGGTGGCTTGAACGCAAAGAGCCTGGTGGAACGGGGTGCCCGAACCCAGGGCGGTAGCACCAGCGGCCGAGGGTCAAGGATATTCGCCCTGCCTTTGTGGAATTTCTTTTCAGGGGCGGCGCGCGGAGGGCTTGCACGGCTTTGCGCGTGCGTTCCGATGCCTTCGGTCGCACGCGAACATCTTCCAACCAGCTTGAAGGTTTCCCCTCTCAGCCCTCATCCCTCCCTGCCCGCACCCCAGTAGATAAAAAGGGTTAGGAACACCTTTAATCCGGTGCGAAAGCTTTGGAGGAGAGACAGAATAAGCAGCCACTACAATGAGCTGCTCCGGGCTGGAAACCAGGGCGCGCGCCGGCGTTCAGCCCCCGACCCCCCCACCCCTGGCTTCAACCCTCCCTTGCGCTTGAAACTCTCAAATGCGCCCTCCTTTCCATCCCACACTAGGAACAGGTTCCGAGGGTCCTTCCAAGGTCGGCTTTCCCGGGCCCCGAAAGCGTTCGAAAACGTTTAGTCCATCCCGTGGTAAACTCAGCTTCTGCCTAGAAGCTTGGATTTACCCGGTCTCCGGAGAGGTCTCCTTTCGTACTGTCTTTTCGGATCAGATCTCTTGGTAAACAAGGAAGGGATGTTTACCCAACAGAGTCGATGTATTTATTAGTGAGTTCACTGCGGGTTTCTTCAATATTTCTAAATCGTGGGGCCTTTTCGGGGTTGCGCGGGGTTTGGAGCGGGAAGAGGGCCAAGGTGTTTCCGGGCAAGCGCGCGGGGTTAAGTGGAGACGCGACTAGCCGGGCTCTCCTGCGGATCCCCTTGGGGATACCTTTGGCTAACCCCCAGCCTGGAGCTGGGGAGACCCGAGTCTCAGAGACCCAGTGGCCCACTACCAGTTGGCCCCAGCTCTGGGAAGCGGTGGACTTTCCTCGGGGTCGTCGGCAGAGAGAGGGTTCGGTTTGTGTGGCTTCCCCTCTAACAAAGAGATCCGCTGTAATCCGCCGAATCTGTTATCAATTTCTCCGCCGCCCGAGCCCCGCCCCGTGCGCCCCGCCCGTCGGGAAGCTCGGAAAGTGCGCGCGGCCAGCGGCGATCTGCACCGCGGTCTCGGAAGCACATCGGAGCGTGTGTATCCGTGCACGCGTGTGAGTGTGTGAAAGGGCATGAGTGTGTTTGTGCATGAGTGTATGAGCGCACGGCCTCGGCCGCCTATGGGGAGAGTCGACTTTGAAGCTTGGGCCGCGCGCGAAGGCAGACCTAGCAGCCCACCCCCTCCCCTGGAGGAAACTTGACACTTCGGGCGGGGGTGGGGGAGGGAGACGAAGTCTTCTCTGCATGGCTGGGGAAACCCCAAGTTTCTAGTCTCAGGGATGCGCCCCCAGCTTAGAGGCGTTTCGAGGACGAGCGGACCAGGGGCGCCGGAGCCGTGGTTAGCGGGCACTGGGGACCACATAAGCATTTCCTCTCGAAGAAGCCCCGAGGTGTCTGTGCCAAAGGGGCGGCTGGCCAGGAACAGCCGTGGCAAGCTCCTGAGCCCCTTCGTGTTCCCAAGGCTGCCTAGGTCCCTTCAGGCCCGTTTACGGCACAGGTTCTAGGCCAGGTCCTTCCGCCACCTGGAAGAGGCTCACCTATCCTTTCCTGAGGAAGGGGTCCCTTGGGAGCGGCGGGAGACGCAGCGCGTCGGGGTTACACTTATCAGAGATGTAAAAGGGGATTTTGGAAACCTGCTCCTCCCACCCGCAGCCGCCACCGCTTTGCTCCGCCGCCGCCTACAGGTGGAGAAGTCACCAGTGGGGAGGAAGGGCAGCGGAAGCCTCCGAGGCCGCCCCTGCCCCGAAATTCTTGACGACTGGAACCATCACCGCCCGGCCCTCTGCGCCCTGGAATCCGGGGACTCGGCGGCGGCGCCGCAGCCAGCGCATCCCTGGCCCCGTCGGGGGCTCGCTGGGACCATCTTTGGCCGTAATCTGCACCCTCACCGTTCGGATCTGACCGAACCGAGTCTTAATTGGGCTGGAGGGTGAGGTGGCCGCGTTTCAAGGCCATGTTCACAGTGCCGCGACGGCGAAGTGGCGGACAACTCCAGACCGGGACCAAAGGAAACTGCAGTCCCCCTTGGCTTCCTTTCCCCTTTCTCCACGGCAGCTGCCAGGAGTGGGGACAAGCGGGGCGGGAGGGAGAGTGAAAAAGAATTTGGAGGATTGTGGGGAGAGCAGGGAAGGGAACCGCGTACAGCGGGACCCAGAGCCCCTTCTTTCCTCTGGGGTGCCATCCTTTCTCTGGAGCACTCAGAGCCCGAGGGAGCGCCCCGTTTTCTGGATTCCTTGGTGGGGAGAGCAGATCTCTCTCCTCGTGGACTCCAGTGCCCCCATCTCCTTTCCCCCGCTCCAGTCTGGCTGAAGAGCGTCCTAAGGAAACTCAGGCGGCCCTTCCCCCTCTGGAAGTGGCTTCGCCCAAAGCGGCCCGTAAACTGATTAAGAAACATACGATGTTAATTCAGAGCTGCATTTCCCAGCTGGGCACTTTCTCGCGCGCTGCTCCCC